AGGTGTCCGGGAGCACCCTGGGGACACCTTTTCAGGTGCTCCAAGCCCCACCTCCCCCCCCACCCCACCCCAAAATACAAGGACTGATACAGTTTGGCCTACAGGAGCTTCTGGTGTTTACCCCCCCCCCACACTGCAGTGGACAGGAAAGGGGGGGGGGGCGGTTGTCCAGCTCGTCCCATTGCTGGATGCTAACACTGCCACATCCACCCGGGTTCTTCACTCTGCCAATGTATGCTCTGGGTCACCGGCCTCTGGTTCATGGCGGGGCTGCAGGGGCAGCTAGGGCAGGTCTGGGGAGGCAAGGTAGGTAGCCAGGGTCACCAGGGCTGCCACATGTGTGCACACGCCCAGCCCTACAGCCAGAACCCCAAGCAGGAAGGCACAGCGAGAGGTGGCCCCTGCCCCCTGGACATCCCCCTTGGTCCAAGTCTTGGTCTGTGGAGGTGCTGGGCATCAGTGACTCCGACATCCCCTCTGCTCTCCCTGCTTCCTGAAGCCCAAGCCCCTTCCCCACAGGATACAACCACGCGTTCACTCATCCATATATTCTAAAAGTGGAGCATCACTGGGTCAGGCACAGTTGGGCACTGGGATTCCAGGTGACTAATAAGATCTATATTATAAAAGGCCCGAGGCCCTAATGTAACGACCAAACAAGCAGCGGCTCTTAGGGCTGGTGGGGCAAGGTGCAAGCTACTAGGGGCAGAGCGCTACAAGCGGTGGAGGGCGGGGCACGAGCTACCAGCGTTGGGGGGGCGGCCAGCTGAGGCAAGCAGAAGCGAGCTACTCGCGCACCACACCATTTCGTGCGCACTGGGCCTCTAGTATACGTATATTAGTGTATGCCACCATTCTAACTCATTTGACCCTCACAATGACCCTGAAGCAGGAATTATTCCAATTTCAGAGATGAGAAAAATGAGGCACAGAATAATTAACCTTTCAATCAAACCTTGAACTAGATTTTAAATGATCTTTAACTGCTAATGGCCCCAGGCAGTTCACAGAAGCAAACTAAATCCTCTGGAGGAAGGTACCTTCATTCTAGGCCTCAAAATAATTTTTCAAATAGGATGACCAGCATGCAGTCAAAGATAACCAGGCACATAAGAAACCATGAATGAGGACAAGCAGAGGGAAAAGACCAAATAGACACATACAATATCAGAGTGATGCCTACAGCAACAATGTGGCAGACTGTGTTTTCCAAAAAAAATGGCCACAATCATCTCTCCCATCCCACATGCTCTTCTTAAAGTGTGACTGATACTCTTCCCGTCAAGGGAGAGCTCTGTGTCCCCTTTCCTGGAATCTGGACAGGCTGTGACTCACTCATAATTGATGGATATAGTGGAATTGATTCCACAAGATTCATTCCTAAGTCAGGAAGGTGAGGCAGCTCCTGCGTCGCTGACACTCCTGCTGGAGACGAGGCACAGAAGGAGTCCAACTGCCCTGAAGCCAACATGCTGGGAGGAAGCCCACACCAGCCCACATGGGGAGACTACATGAAGACATGTAGGAACCCCGAGACTACATGAAGAGAGACACTAACCACCCTGACTGTTCCAGACCTTACACTGGCTCACTGCAACCTCATGAAAGACCTGAGGCAGAACCACCCACTGAATCCTTCCCAAATTCCTGGCACAAAGAAACCGTGAGTGATAATGATTGCTGTTATTTTAAGCTACTAATTTTTGTAGTGGATTCTTATACAACTGGAGGCCCAGTGCACGAAATTTGTGCACGGATTGGGTCCCTAGGCCTGGTCGATCAGGGCTGATCAGGTGCCCTGCCTCCCCACCTCCTCCTTCCCTCTCCCTCAGCACCCCTGCCACCGCGGATGGTCGCCCTCCATGGTCTGTGCCGCCCCCTAGTGGTCAGCGCACATCATAGCAAGCAATCAAACTCCCATTCTCTCGGTTGAACTCCTGAGGGGACATTTTACTTATTATCCTTTTATATATAGAGATAATAACCTGGAAACCATGTTTAAGAAATAAAAGATAAGAAATAAAAAATTATAAAAGTGACAATTTTTTTAAAAGGACCATAGCAGAGGCCAGAGGTGTGTTGGATCTGGAGAGAGATAGAGAGCAGGGGAGTCAGAAATCAGATGGAAGACAAACAGAGCCAAAGGCTAGGGAATAAAGATGAGAGGCAACCCTAACTGGTTTGGCTTAGTGGACAGAGCATGGGCCCAAGGACTGAAGGGTCCTTGGTTAGATTCCAGTCAAGGGCATGTACCTTGGTTGCAGGCTCGATCCCCAGTAGGGGGCGTGCAGGAGGCAGCTGATTGATGTTTCTCTCTCATCAATGTTTCTAACTCTCTATCCCTCTCCCTTTCTCTCTGTAAAAATCAATAAAATATATTTTTTTAAAAAGATGAGAGGCAAATCTGGAGAGGAAAAGCCAAAGAACCCGGGGTGAAGGAGAACAGGAAAACCACAACTGGAAATCTAGGACGCCCACCTGCAGCCCCTCCCACTGCTGCTACTAAGGCCTGCTGCTCCTACCTCAAGGTCAGGGAGCCCTGGCTGCCCCAGACCAGCGCTCACTGAGGGAAGAGGTGGTAGAAGAAACTGCCAACCCCTTAGGGACTCTGCAAAGGCTGTCTCTCCAAAGGGGGACCCAACTCAGGCTCACCAGGCCTCTGAACAGTGGGGTCAGAGCCTACACCTGCCAGCAGAGGCTGTTGAAGTTCTCAAAGACTGGGGCTGTCCATGGCTAAGAGAGGCTCCCAGAGGGGTTTCCTGGGGTAGGGGTAAGAAAAACAAGTTTTAAGTCTCACCTTCATCCTTCCCCTGACTTCTGACTGGAGAGAGACTCCAGGCAGAGACTACCCTCAGATCCATTTTACAGATAGTAAAACTAAGGCCCAGAGAGTAAAAGAGACTGGCCCACGTTGTAAAGAGAATCCAGGGGTCTGGACATTCAACTCTGGACTTCTCTGTCCCCAGGCAAAAACTGTGTAACTGTGGCACACTTATTCCAAACCATGCCTTACACACCTACTTGCCCCATGAACTGAACTCCCATCCCGGGTTCACACACCATCCCTCTCCCTCAGACCCCTCCCCAATGACACTTTGCATTTTACTCTAGTTCACACCTCCTGTGCTGCTCCCCCTACCCCCAAGCCTGCACTCTCAATACCCAAGTCCCTGGCCACAGTTACCCATCCAGACAAGCCCAACGCCCACCTCCATCTATATGCATTCATCTCCCAAGAGTCTCCTTGCATACTTGCCCCAGACAACATCGGCTCCCAGAAAATACCTTCTGAGCCCCAACCTTCTTACACACTCTTCCTAAGTGACTCCTTGCACACTCCTAATCTCCCCAGCATCAGATCCCCCCATATGCACACATACACCCCAGGACACCCTCCCCTGTTCCCATCACTTCCCTTGCACACCTGCTCCAAAGACCCAGTCCTTGCACCCCTCACCTACTCCACCCACATGGATAACCCCACACAACCCCCTGCGCACACAGCACCGCCTAGGCACCTCCAGTTTTACCAGAATCCACCTTGGCATACCTACCCCATAACACCCCCAAACCACCAGACACTCGTATGTACTCAACAAAGAATATTCTCCTCGCCCCACAATCCCCCTAAGGGTCCCCCCCGCCCCCCCCCCCCTCCCCACAAGCCTCCAGCCTTCGCTCCAAACCTGGTTTGAGCCGATTCCCTCACAAAAGATTTGCCTCCCCATCCCCAACACCAGGACCCGGGGACAGGTGCCCTTATCTGTGCCCCTCCCTCACCGCCCACGCTTCGTAGCCGGGACCTCCTGGGTCCCTACCCCGACACCGGCCGCGACCCTGCCACTTGGGCTTGGGAACCTCAGTGAGCCCCACGCTCCCCCGCCCAAGCCTGGGGGCGCGGGGTCTGCGGGGTCCGCTTGGTTCCCCTCTCGGTCCGGGCCAGCAGCGCGCAGGGGCGGGGATGGGGGCGGGGCGGTGGCCGGGAAGGGGGCCTTGAACGCCGACCTCAACACCAGCCGTGGGCCCCTGACTCTCCGAGTGTGTGGCAGCAGGAGGGTGGCCGGCACTGCGAGCCCTGAGCCCCCAGACCAGGCCTAAGTGCTGCCGGGCGGAGGAGGGTGGCCCGGAGTCTCCAGGGCCTTACCGGCTTGGCCCTGCCTCCACCCACCCCTACCACCCCCACCACCCCCACCACCCCCTGATGATAACAGCAATTAGGTTCTTAGTGCTTTACATATACGTGTGCACATATATCCTCAGAACGACCAACGAGGCACTCTTTTTTTTTTTTATCTTCAATATTTTTCCAATCATTCTTAGAGAGAGTGGAAGGAAGGGAAGGGGAGAGACAGAAACATGGATGTGAGAGAGACACATCGATTGGTTGCCCCCGGGCCGGGATCAAGCCTGCAATCGAGGTACGAGATACAAGGTACGTGCCCTTGACCAGAATCCAGGACCCTTCAGTCCACGGGCAGTGCTCTCTCCACTGAGCCAGCGGACCAGGGCACGGGCACTCTTGTTTATTGTCCCGTTGTACACAGGAGGAAGCAGGCACAGAGAGGCGTAGGTGCGCGCCTCCTGCAGCTCACCGAGTGCAGGCTACCTCCTGGGTTAAGTGCTTAAGCGCATCAACGCTTTGATTCCTCTCAGTAGCTCTATTTCTATCCCTATTTTGCAGCTCAAGAAACTGAGGCTCAGAGATGTGTGTTCACCTGGCCAAGGCTAACTGGAACTAGGCCTGGCGGACTGCACCCCAGAGCTGTATTCCTTGCTGGTCAAGGGGAGAGGAGGAAGCAAAGGCAGGAGGTGACTTGGGAGCAACCCAGGAAAGGAGGATGAGGTGGGAGGGGCCTGGGATGGGGGATGTGCTGGTCATCAGATGGTACAGGCGGTGGTTGAGTCAGTATTTGGACCCACAGGGCCCTGAGTTCCTTTCCAGGCTCTTCAGATCACTTGCTGTGTGACCTCTGGAAAATGGCATCACTTCTCTGAACCCAATTATCTTCACCTGTAAAATGGTGTCAATGCTCCCTGCCTGCAGAGGTGATGACATACATCAGCCACTTAAATTAGGTGAGATTACAATGTCCAATATTTACCCGAAGCCCGGCAAGGTAAGCACTGGAAACATGTTTGATTATGTTTATTATTATTATTATTATTATTATTATTATTTATATCCATCTCCATCAGTCTGATAGGGGACTCCCCTCACCCTGCGGGTCTTCTCCTCCTTCACGGAGCCCACCCAGCCTGCACTGGCTTCCCTTTCCCAGAAGCCCTCCATTTCACCAGTCCCTGTCAGCCAAACTGGAGGCTTCCCTGCCTGATCTGGGGCCAGCCAGGGGGGCGGGCGCCGGGCTCTGAGCCAAGAGTCCCTACCCTGGAGCTGGCACCGCCCCACTCCCCAGGAGAGCACTTGAATCAGCCAGAGTGTCTGGCAGCTGCAGGGAGACCATGGGAGGGTAGATGAGAGGGAAAAGGGAGCAGGATTGCTTTGTCTGGGAGAAATACCCTGTTACTCTATCTTCTTAACCTCTCTCTCATTGGTTTTTCCATCTCGGCTCCTGAAACATATTACAGTAGTCTCCCTTATTCACAGGGGATATGTTCCAAGACCCTGGGTGGGTGCCTGAAACTGTGGATAGTACCAAAACCTGTATATACTAGTACATGGTTTTTCCTATATGTACATACATACCTTGATAAATTTTAATTTATAAATTAGGCACAGTAAGAGACTAACAACAATAACCAATAAGAAAAGAAAATAGGACACATAACAATATACTGTCATTAAAGTTATGTGAATGTAGTCTTTCAAAATATCTTGTAATGTACTCATCCTTCTTGAAGATGTGAGATGAGACAATGCCCACGTGATGAGGTTAAGTGAAGTGGATGACGAAGGCGCCATGACTTTAGGCTACTATCGACCTTCTGATGATAAGGGTGGCCAGGCGTCACGACTGGAATGACCAAAGAACAGACCACTATGGCCCCTCACTGGGCTGGCCCCGCCCCTAAGCAAGCGGTTAGGGGCAATCAGGCAAGCAGGCAAAGTGGTTAGGGGTGATCAGGTAGGCAGGCAAGTGGTTAGGGGTGATCAGGCAGGCAGGCAGAGTGGTTAGGGGTGATCATGTAGGCAGGCGAGCAGTTAGGGGCAATCAGGTAGGCAGACTGCCCCTTGCAGGGCTGGCCCTGCCCCCCAGCAAAGAAAGAGGGAGGCCCAGGCCAGCCAAGCCATCACACCCCAGCCTGTCGCCTACAGAGGGAGGCCAGCGGTGGCAGGGGAGAGGGGGCACAGATGGCAAGCAGTGGCAGCAGCGGGAGTGGGGCCAGCTGCCTGTAGCCAGGGGAAGAAAAGCCCTGCTAGGCCCTGATCTCAGGCCAGGCCTGGCGACCCTACCCAAAGGGTCCCAGATTGTGAGAGGGTGGAAGCCGGGCTGAGGGACCCCCCGAGTACACAAATTTTCATGCACTGGGCCTCTAGTTGGTATATAAAAAAGCCATCAAGCCCTAGCCGGTTTGACTCAGTGGATAGAGCATTGCCCTGAGGACTGAAGGGTCCTGGGTTCGATTCCAGTGAAGGGCACGTGACCAGTTTGTGGGCCCAATCCCCAGTGGGTGGTGTGCAGGAAGCACACCCATCTCATCATTGATATTTCTATCTCTCTCTCCCTCTCCCTTCCTCTCTGAAATCAATAAAAATATATATTTTTAAAAAGCCATAGAATTTTAGGTGTTGATTTTGTATCCTGCTACATTGCCAAATTCATTTATTAAATCTAGTCATTTTTTGGTGGAGTCTTTAGGGTTTTCTATGTACAGTATCATGTCATCTGTGAATAATGAGAGTTTTATGTCCTCCTTTCCAATTTGGATACCTTTTATTTCTTCTTGTCTGATCGCTGTGGCTAGAATGTCCAATACTATGCTGAGCAAGACTGGTGAAAGTGGACATCCCTTCTTGTTCCTGTTCATAGGGAAAATGGTTTTAGATTTTACCCATTGAGTATGATCTTCACTATATGTTTGTCATATATGGCTTTTATCACGTTGAGATATGCTCCCTCTATTCCCAATTTGCTGAGAGTTTTTATCAAAAATGGGTGTTGGATTTTATCAAATGCTTTTCCCACATCTATTGATGGGTGTTGGATTTTGTCAAATGCTTTTCCCACATCTATTGATATGGATGTGTGATTTTTGTCTTTCAATTTGTTTATATGATGTATCACATTTATTGATTTGCAAATATTATACCAGCCTTGCACCCCTGGAATAAATCCCACTTGGTCATGGTGTATGATCTTTTTAATATATTGCTGGATGCAATTTGCTAATATTTTGTTGAGGATTTTAGCATCTATGTTCATCAGGGATACTGGCCTGTAATTCTCTTTCTTTGTAGTATCTTTATCTGGTTTTGGAATTAGGATAATAAAAAGAGTTTGGAAGTGTTCCTTCCTCTTGGAGTTTCTGAAATAGTGTGAGGAGTATAGGTGTTAGTTCTCTTTGAGTATTTGGTACAACTCCCCTGTGAAGCTGTCCATACCTGGACTTTTGTTTAATTACTGCTGTTATTTCATCAGTTGTTATTGGCCTATTCAGGTTTTCCAATTCTTCCTGATTCAGTTTTGGGAGATCGTATTTTTCTAGGAATTTGTCCATTTCTTCCACATGGTCCCGCTTACTGGCATATAGTTGTTCATAGTATTTTCTTAC